CTAACCTGCCACGCCAGCAGAAATCAGTGCAAGGGCTCCCACTAACACAATGAGGCTTTTTGCCCCTCCTCCCACAGACCCCCAAACCTCCCCCAAATCCACTCTGGAGGGTCAAGGTAACCCCCAGAACAGTGAACAGGAGGAGGAGAGAGGAGATAATTCTGTCCGGCAAGCAAAAATGCTTGTGCTGACAGATCAGTGAGAAAAATGTGCCCTTGAATTCTTCCAGTAAAGTTCTTTGCAACTGGTGTGGACAAGAGAAGGAGATTTCAGTGCCTATTCTTGTTTGGCTCTGGGCTCATGGGTTGACCTTGGGCTTTTATTACAATTGTAAAATAAAAACATTGATGTCCTACCACACAGGGTTGTGTTTGTACATTGAAAATGCTAAAGAATCCCTTGCTGCTCTTTAAAAGTGGGAACATATGGAATATGGATTTGTAAGAGAAACAGTTTCACTATTTTATTTTTTTGTAAATAATAATAAAATCCACTGCTCGACATAGGTGAGATCTTCATGCTATTGTAGCCTGGTTCTTTCATTTAATGGTGAAAGCAAGATTAAATGCAATTAACATTAATTTAGCAAAAAAACAGCCTTAGTATTGATGCCAATGTTAATTAGCAGTCATCTTCTCAGTGGTGACCCTTTGCAGAATTATGTTCATTCTTTTCTTCCCCAGTGCTTTCCAGCTTGCGTCCATAATAGAGGTTTTGTTCATTACAATGAGTCATTGGAAGAGGCCACTTTGGGAGAGAACTGGGGTCCAGGCTTGGGTGTCTTTCTTTAACAGTTTTCCAGAATTGCGGAGGCTCGCAATTGGTGAAAAACACTTCCTATGAATGGGCTAATGATTTAGGCTCTCTCTGGGTGATAACGGTGATCAGAGCAATTGTCCCAGGTAAATCAATATGTTATAATGCATGAACAAACAGGTGAGGCTCAGAATAGCTAAAGATTAGCAGATGATGTGAATTATTCTGTAAAGTACAGGTGACAAGGAAACGGTATTGCTCTAGTCTTTTTATGCCCCAGAGCAAGTGAAAGCAGTAGGATGGGGAGACCCCCCCCCTTGTTAAGTCACAGTGCATCCTGACTCATCTCTTATAACTGGTGGCCTCTATGCCATTCGGAACACAAAGAACCAATAGAACCAGCACTGGGTCCGGCTGGCGTTCTCCATCTAATTTGCTTGAGCTCCCATTTGTGGCCTGATGTACTAGAGGTTGCCTTGTGCTGAGAAGTTACAGTAAGAGTGAAAGTCAGCTCCCAGACTTCAGAGCAATAGAATTGCATCCTTGCGCTGGGATGAGAGGGAGGTGGAAATCATTCTGTGGTGAGCATGCACGCCATGTGCTGAAATAACAGCTATAAGGTATGTTGATTCTTTCACTTAAGAATGCCTCCAGGCGTCCAAATCACCACAACCTCAGGCAAAACAACATTCATGCATTTAGGGCAATCCATGCTTGACAAGACAAAGCCAAGACCTTTTGCATATTGCATGTCTGCTTGGATTCAGTTCTGTGATCCAAGTGATTTATTTTTTTTAACTGCAGGCCTCTCTGGGCTGGTTCTTGGGCCCAAACTGCCTTGCAAGCAGTTGTCTACAGATTTCTACATGCTTTTTTTAAAAGTAAAAATTGGCTGAGGGAGCCTGTAATATTAAATAGAGGACCAGTATGGTGAGGAAGTGTGTTTTCTAGCTAAAAATCACCCCAGAACTGCTTTTCTTTTGGGGGTAAAATGATAGGAAGAGCTGTATCTTTTTCCCTTGTAGAGGGAAAAGCAGCTGAGGGGCAATAGTGGGAAGGAAAATAATCAGGATCTCTCTCTGTTTCACCACAGGCAGAGTGTTCAAGATTCTTCTTCCTGTGGCTGCTTTAATTTTATTTATTTTTATGTGTGAGTGGAATTTTGCACAGAACTGTACATTATGGATAGTTTAGCCCTCACTTGAGGTATTAAACATGTAGCCAGACTACAGACCACTTCAGATTGCAGCCAGAGATATAGACTATGGAGCACCCCTCCATAAAAAACCTTTCGCAGCACATATGAAACTTGATACTAGAGAGAAGGCCACAGCCATACCGTTGATCAGAGGTCATAAGGAGAAACTTGGTGCAGTGGTGGAATACTTTCCTGCTGGCTCCACTTTCTACCTCCACACATGGTGCTCACAGTCCATCAGAGTTGGGCCAAGCTACCGCTGTATAGTGTTGCTCTGGTGTCTCATGCCACTGGTATCTTTGAATAGAAGTGGGTTATCAGGAGTCTGCTCTGGTGGGCACCCTGCACATGACCCTTAACTCCTTTGGCTTTGCTCTGCAGGTGACTGTAGGAAACAAGACAGGGGACACACACACCTTGGCATACCTCAGCTGTCTTCTTTAATAGACAAACTTACCCTTGTAGTTTAGGAGGAGCAGAAGATCAGGGTGTGTGCTAATGCCTGGTTATGCCCCAGATCTATTTGGCAATCACCAGTGCAAGCATGCACTTTTCTTTGGCCATTAATTTTGCTCTGGCAAGAACAAAGGTGCCCCTTCCAACAGTTGTTTCAGCTCTTGAGGATAGCTCTTAAGAAATCCCCACTGGCACCTTGCAGTCTGGACTTAGGATGGCTGTGTGAATTGGCTCGCAGTGCTCACTTTTACTCCCTATGACTGCCCTATCAATCCTGTGGCAGGAATTCTGTATCATCATGCCTCTGGTTGTTTAGCATACCAGTCTCCTGTTTTAGTACCCCCTCCTGTCCCGTAGGCCCCCCTCCCCTTTTCCTGCTTTGTCTCCTTTAATCCCTCCTCACAGGAAGCCAGTCTTGACTTTCTTATCCCCAAATCCCCATGCTCCAGTCTCTGCCTACTCTCCAGGGGATACGGCAGGATAGGTTGTGCCAACCCCGGCTAGCTTCTCTCCTTGAAAAGAAGGAAAAAACCCTCCCTTGCTTCCTATTCAAATATGAGCTTATAATTCACATGCACACACCCCAATTCACTAAATAGCATTTCCTTTTTTGCAGGGGACATACCCTCCCAAGAAAGCAGGGGTTATTCAGCTTACGATTAGCAGCTATCAAGGGGGGCGGATTTGTAATTGCTTGCGAGTGTGTCTGTTGGCTTGGAGAAGAAAGGTTAGCAGCACTGGAGAAGGAAAAGTAATTGTTCTACAGATCAAGTATAGCCTAGGGAAATTCTTCTTTAAAAAGTAGCATCAATCCTGCCCACTTAAGAGGCAAGTTGGCTCCATGGCCAGAGCCTCTTAAGCCCTTGACTGTTAAGGTAGCTGTTCGCCAGTCTTAATCATGGATTTTGTGGCTACTGTTTTTCATCAAAATGTAGGCAAGCATCTCTAGTGCCATGAAATAGTCTTCTGCCAAGGGCAATCCTTAACCACTAGCATGTTTGGCCATGGTGCCATGAGGCTACCCTCCTGACAGCAGCATCACTACTGCTCATCTGAACAGTGTGTGGGGGGGGTGAAGGTGGGCATCACACAGTCCACAAATGCTGGAGAAATAGCAGAGAACTTGGCAGTGTTGTGACAAGTGGCATGTCGTCTTATTATGCCCTTCTACATGTATAATGTGCCTAACCCTGGGACGATTTTACATAATACTGTTCTGAAAGCAGCAGTACTCCATTGAGTTGAAGGATTTGTATGGCGGCTTCGCTGCTTAACGCATTTTAGTAGCAAGCAAGGGACAGCAGTTGAAATTGTCACAATGGCCAGCTTGACAAGGTGTCCATTTGCATCTGTTATGCGCAGGAGAAATAGCAAAAAAGCAAATTACACCTTCTCCAATAAAGCTGCTGGAGAAATGGCCTGCATTTTTCTTGATTGGTTTTTATTATTATATTACATTCCCAGGGCAGTTTACAAAATGATTATAAATTAAAATACAGAAACAAAAATAATATAAGCTAAAAGCCACAAAATCATAAAAGCAGCATAAAACAGCAGAATTAAATTTGCTTCTAAAAAGCTTGGGATTTTTTAAAATGGTTTTTGACTGGCATGGAAGGACTATAAAGTAAGTGCCACAAAAGGGGAAGGGGACATGCTTGCACATGTAATGCTAATCTGGGGTTTAATATTATGTATGTCTGAATTGTTGCCTCTTTCAGGGCAAAGCAGGTTGGGAATATTGTGTAACATAGCTCTTTGGAATCCTGGTAGGTTTTGTTATACTATTGAAGAAAGAGGTCTTCATTGCTGTTGAAATCAAGGAAAGGAGTTGTTTGTAGGGTGGATTCTTGACCCAATCTTCTCAGGATTGGTGAAATCAAGGCAAAAAGTTTGGACAAAGTCTTCATGCCATGCAGCTGCAGTCAACCTCACTTCAGTAGACCTTGTAGTTTGTAACAAGCCTTGAACTGAAAGCATTTCAGCTTCCAAGCAGTGCCGGTCTCATAACCTTCAGGAGCTCAACATGCATTTTTAGGGAGAGGGAAAGTAGCAATTATTCCTTCCATCCACAACATGTTGTGCTTAGAAGTAATTTTATCAAGCTTCCATCGGGAGCAGCTTCTACTGATTGATAGTGCCATGAACTGAAGCTTTTGTACACAGAAACCTTTTGGGATATGAGCTACAGATTAGGAAGCCAGGGGTTGACCTTGTTTTCATTCATCTTTAGGGACTGGTACTTGTTGTCTGATAATTCTGTGATGGAGTTGTGGTTTGTTTTTCACCGAATTGCATGTAAACTTCAACATATCTCATCACTAGATCTATACAGGCAGTTTTAAGTCAGAAAAAAATTATTTGTTGAGATGTGCCAGTTGATATTCTTTTTGCCTGAAATCTCTAAATATGCAAAAATCCCAATTGTTGTCACAAATTTAAAGGACAACATGTTTTCTTAAAAGGAAAACCAACAGATTTTGAGATTGCTCTTCCATAATCTTTTTGGAAGTCATTTCTTGCTACATGGTTCACTCAGCAGCTGAATAAGTAATGATGCACCTCCTCTTCTTCATTTCTCTTTTCTCAGGAACTGTTGGTCCACTTCGATTAAAGCCCAGCTGCTGGCAAAGTGCAGAAAGCAGGGGACCACAGAAGCTCTTAGAAGCCCAGCATTCTTTTGGAGTCATGCTGATGCAAATGAGTGCCTTCTGTCCATGGTGGTCCACAAAATCACCATGAATCCATATCCAGATGCCTGCATGTATCAGTCTTAATTGATGGATTTGGACTTGAGGGGGAAGGACCCTGCGTTTGGAGGAAAAGCTATGCTCTGCGTAATGTATGTCACCACCATCATTATCTCTCTTCCACTGAGAGAAGAATTCCCATTAATAGATCTCGTTTCTGACATGAGTGATAAGCCTCCATTTTTTTTAAAAAAAAAAAGCCTGTTAAGTTTTTTGTTTCACTGTTACTCTGTATTTCATAAGACATTGCCTTTGTCCTTCAGAACAAGGAATCTAAGGAAATGCCAGAGCCTGTGTATATTGAGTTAATAATGACTCAAGCAGGTGTGATTGTATGTTTGACACTAACAGAGACATTCCTGCCTTCCCCTCTCAAGCTTCCTCCTAAGAACAATAAAAATGTGTTTAATGGCCGCTGTGTGCTGACAGTTGTTTTCTGATCCAAAAGTTTGAGAGTAACCCCCTTCTCTTCCCTCCTTTCTGCTGCCCCGACTGTCAGACTTGACCGCCTTCCAGTCATTGTCGAGATCTGAAACTCTTCCAGACGCTGTTGGTAAATTAAAAATCTCATTTGTTTCATGCCAGGAGCTGGATGGATAGCTCTGGATTAGTTGGAGAAGTGCAGACGTCCTGGCTGGAAGAGAGAGCTAGGTGTGGCAAGTCAAACAGCAGAAAGGCTCGACCCTGTTTAATGCAGCAGAACTCTGTACCCCTTGCAGCAACTTTCTCTGTGCTGCTTCCTTTCCCCTCCATGCTGCCTGTAAGAAGTTCAGAAATCGCTGGAGTAAAGCAACTTTCCTTCGCAGGAACCAAGACATTCCCAACAGTTTGGCAGTGAGTATCTCTAATCCAACCAGGCATAGCTAGACAGCTCTTATTAATGCCACTGCGTTCGCTTTGTAACCACCTTTTCTAGCCTGTAATACCTGTTTCTGGTGGCTTTAAACTAGCTAATACATTGGTGGTAGCAGCTGGCATTTTGCCTGTTTCGAGAAACAATGGAGTGTACCTCTAGGGGAGAAGTCAAACCAAAGTGACCTTCCTGGGGCGCAAGCTTGGGCAATGTGTATGGAGGTCCTGGGCAGCGGTGGAGGAAGCCACTCGGGTGCCTGGGGCTGCGTGCCCCGGGGCAGGGCGCACCGTGGGGCCTCCACAGTCTGCCTGCTTCCTCCCACTCAGCCACCCTACAGCTGGGGAGTGGGGGAGCGGGCAGGTTGTTTGGGCAGCGCGGAGCCTGCGCATGCCCAAGCCACTACGTGGGTGCGCTGCAGGCCCTGTGTTGAGTGCCACCCGGCATTTTGTCACACATACCCCTCAGTGGTGGCACCCAGGGCAGCCTGCACCCACCGCACCCCCCTTCCTCCATCCCTGGTTCTGGGCTGCCCAGCGTTGCTGATGTGGCCCAAAGGAAAGCAGAGCAATACGTTTGGCACTAGCTTGCCTGCAGCAGTTACCAGAAGGAGACGTACAAGTGCAGTAGAATCCTAGGGCTGCACCCCAAACACCCTGACTAGAGAGCAATCCCTATGGAACAAAGTAGGAAATGCTCCAGAGTAAACAGGATTATGGTTGCATTGTTAAAGCACCAAAAATAATGCAACAGGTATTCTGGCACAGTGGGTGCAAATAAACTTTGCCTCCATTCTTTGCGTGACTTGCTTATGAATACTAGCCACCATATATATATATATATATATATATGCAGGTTTTGGTGTCCTCGGGTGTCTTCCCGTGTAAAAGTTGGGGTGTCTAGGCGACGTTTCGACGAGGTCTCACTCGTCATCTTCAGGCTGGTGCTTTCGGCTTCTTGTTACTGGAACAGAGCAGGATCTCAGTGTTTGAGTTCCTATAAATACTGTTGAGGGGGTGTGGTGTATAGCCTCCAATGTTCTGGGCAGAGAGGAAGTTCCCAGGCTAGTGTGCCTTTTCTTCTTTTGTTCCTTAATTACTTGAGGGATATCTTGAGTGATTTCTTGAGTGATATCCTGAGTACCACTTAGGTGGGTCATTAGGTGTGGATTAGTTGCTAAAGCCTTCGTGTCTTGACCTCTTGAACTTTGTGAAGAGTTTTTCTGAGAAGATGGCTGTACTTCATTTAGTTGTGCACATTGCACAACACATACACATTGCACAACACATACACATTGCACAACTAAATGAAGTACAGCCATCTTCTCAGAAAAACTCTTCACAAAGTTCAAGAGGTCAAGACACGAAGGCTTTAGCAACTAATCCACACCTAATGACCCACCTAAGTGGTACTCAGGATATCACTCAAGAAATCACTCAAGATATCCCTCAAGTAATTAAGGAACAAAAGAAGAAAAGGCACACTAGCCTGGAAACTTCCTCTCTGCCCAGAACATTGGAGGCTATACACCACACCCCCTCAACAGTATTTATAGGAACTCAAACACTGAGATCCTGCTCTGTTCCAGTAACAAGAAGCCGAAAGCACCAGCCTGAAGATGACGAGTGAGACCTCGTCGAAACGTCGCCTAGACACCCCAACTTTTACACGGGAAGACACCCGAGGACACCAAAACCTGCATTCCTGTACCCGTGAAAATCTACGAAAGCAAATATATATATATATATATATATGTTTCCAGGGCAAGAGTGAGCAGTCAGTGTATATATATATATATATATATATATATATATATATATGTACCGTATTTTTCGCTCTATAACACGCACCTGACCATAACACGCACATCATTTTTAGAGGAGGAAAACAAGGGAAAAACATTCTGAATGAAACAGTGGGTGTATCATTTTTGTGCTTCATGCTGTGGCCACAGACATGTGATCTGATGGTGAATTTGGGGTGGCCCAATGCAAAGATCCTGAGGATCCATGTGGATCTATGCTTTGTAACCACATTTTAAGTGGGGAGGGAAGGAAAAACAAAGAAGGGAAAAGGAGCATGAGAGGGGTGTGCAGAGAAGCAGCTGGCTAAGAATGCAGGAGAGGGATTTAACGGGAGGGAGGAAAGAAAGGCAAAAGTTTCCCCCCACCCAAGCACCCAAACCAGCCAGCGCTCTCTCTCTCTCTCTCTCTCTCTCTCTCTCTCTCTCTCCCCCCACCTGCATGTTGCCTGCTAGTCCCTAGACGCAGCACCGGAGCACAGAGAGGAATTAGAAGGAACGACTGCTTTCCCCTCTGCTTGCCTGGAGGGGAGGGGCTTTCCCTGCTCTTTGTTCCGTTTGAGCAAACACAGCAACGAAACAGAGGAGGGTGGGCAGTAAGACCCTGAGACAGAATGCAGGAAAGCAACCACTTCCTCTTTTCAGGTTTCCCTTCTCCGTGACTCGCGATTTGATTTTTGTCTGATTTTTTGGCTCCAGGGACCACACATTCGCTCCATAACACGTACAGACATTTCCCCTTCCTTTTTAGGAGAAAAAATCTGCGTGTTATAGAGGGGAAAATACGGTATACACACACACACACACTGACGACTGCTCACTCTTGCCCTGGAAACAGAAAGATGCTGTCTCTCTTTATTTCTCTCTCTCTTTCTGGTACTTCCTTTCCCCTCGTTTAGCCCTCCTTGTGGCCCACGTTCAATTAAGCCGAGTGCATCATGAAACTGGGTCAAGGTCTGCAGGTTGCCCACCTGTGGCGTAGAGGAATGCTTGATTCAATATTCCGCTTTTCCAACAACACTGTTGGGAGGCATCGTCCCTTTGCAGCTCCCTCGCTTTAAAAAGGAGTTGCAACCCCTACCTTTGTCCCTCCCTGCCCAAGCCGGCTTTGACCTACAGTTTGCATTTTAGCAGCTGTAAATTGCGAGGATTAGGATGCCAGGGCTGCTTTATCTGGCTGCCTTTGACAATTTCCCCCTCAGGCAAGTGTAATACATTTTCCATGTTCTTTATATAATGAGCTTTATTTACCAAATTGGCAATTCCTCTGTTGAGAAATAACTGATTACAGCATTCAAGGAGCTGCTGTCATCTCAAGATATGCAGGTGTCTATGGAACATAAACAGATGTGATCGTTCAGAAAATGAACCCAATTCAATAGAGTGGGGAGGAGGGGGCATGAGAGAGGAGTCTAGTCTAGGTATAAAAACCTCAAATGTAGCCCAGTTCAGACTAAAAAAGGGCAAGGTGTGCCCAAAGCGCTCCACTGCCCCAGTCGTGATCAGAGCATCAGCCTCCAAGGAACTCAGTGACACAGCCCCCTTCACTAAAGGGTTGGGTTGCACATGCTCTCTGCCACCAAGGGCCTGGCTAATTGGAAATCTTGGAAGGGGAGTATAATTGAAATACAGTCAGCCTGAACAGAAACATGCTCAGTTAGGTTGCCTCTGCACGCAAAATTGCAACAACATAGTACAAGTCTTGGATATGAAAGGGATACATCATGCGGAATCGGCACATAAACTAAAGGCCTCGGAAGGTTTTGTTAGTTCAATCCATCCTCAGTTTACTAACCCAGAAATGGTGAGGGGCATTCTCAAAACAGAGAGAGAGAGAGAGAGAGAGAGAGAGAGAGAGAGAGAGAGAGATAGAGAAGTCACAAGTCCCTCTACCCTGCTGCACAACTCAGTTGCAGAGTGCATTGTTTGCACACATGCATATGATCCCAGCTTCAACATATTCAGCTAAATGATTTTTTGTTTGTTTGCAGGGTTAGGGAAAAAATTCTGAAATATACTGTGTTCATCATAGCCCTGCTTTATGTCTCAATCCCTAGACAGGCTATGTTGGTGGATACCGAGGACAAAGCCTTTAGCACCCAGATAGTTGAATTAACACAAATTAATGGGCACCATTTAATTTTCCTCCTTGGCATTTAGTCTTTGGTGAATGCCTGGACCCCAGCTCCTTGTCTTGTCTCCAGGCTGCTCCAGGCTTGAGGGTGGAGCCTGAATTGGGTTCTAACAATAAATTGCAATTTCAACTCTTGAGCACCTCAGATCATTCTGATCACAATGCAGTGATGGATAGATGTCCCCAGTGTGCAATTGCAGCTACAACTGATACTAATTGATTGAAGCACACATGAAAATAACCTCGAGGACAGACCTGCACGTCAGCCTGAAGAAATACAGAGTGAGAAGTGAGAGACCTTCTTTCACACTGGAACCAAAGGGATGGCAGTTGGTTTGGCTTCCATCTGCACAAAATGGCACACTGCAGGACTGTAAATCCAGCTGTGGCTTCCTCTCCTCAATTTCACCTAACAGCCAACGTTTTAGCTATCTCTCTTGAGATGGCTTGTTCAATTTCCACGGAGATGCTCAACTCCAGCAGAATAGTATGTATGCTTGAATAACCAACTTCTACGTATTGCACAGGTAAATACACATATATGTGTGAGGCCATTTTATCTATGCATTTAAGTGGATCTCAAACCATGGATAGATTAATCCGCGTGATTAACTGATCAGGGATCTTGT